GATTTCCTAAGCAATCATCTAGAATCCACCAGAATGACTACCAGGCTGACTTTATAATTAGGAGGTTTGACAGATTTGCTTGATTTAAGTTGATCCAACTGTTAAAAAACTCGAGGTGGGTCCAAATACCCCCGAACGCCTCACGTTTTTCGCAAGTGGGTCAACTCACATTAAGCAAATCTGCCAAACCTCCTAATATACATTTATATTTACGGTACCAACTCTTTGATGCTATCAATCAAAATACATTCGAAACTTTCTGAAATGGGGTACATTTTAAACGTTTCTTACTTAAAACGAAGAGTAGGTTTCTGTCATATTAAATGGAATAAGAAATTTCTTTGATATCCGACAGCCCCCGATTTCTTCAAGATTTTGCCTGTTTACCTTAAATAAACTGAACTAAACGTGCAGTTTTCCCTTCTAAAAGGGTTTCTCTAAATCAAATCCACTCATCACATCAAAATTACCAGATCAGACGTACACTAAACTGTCAAATCCAACTCAAGGCTTTGCACGAATTGGGTCACCTGCTTTAGGAAGTGCAGGGGAGCGTAAGCACAGGAAGGCACGAACCTGCGTACTTGTCTTCGATCTCATAGACACGCTTTTGAAAGGCCTCAAGAACAGGCGCTGCGTAGACTTTGTCGCAGGCTCCGCAGACAAATACCTCAGCCGGCTCGAGGCAAGAATTTGGCTTCAGGCTAGGCAGAAGGCGTAAGTCCTTGGGTGGGAAGGCGACCAGGTGACTGGGATTCTCACTGAGGTACTCCGTTGCAGGTCGAGGGCCCACTAACCTCTCTTTGCCACAACATACAGGGATGCGCACTTCGAGATCCTACAAGACAGTGGAAGAAAACTCATCAGCGAAAAGTCCAACCCACCCACAAGCGGTATTTTCTAAAGCAATCTTTCAAACAGCTTTAGCTGGCTCTCTTCCTCCCTCCCTCACTCCCTAATGTGATTTAGTGATTTGAAAAAGACGCGCGTGTAGCTTTCCTAAATTGGTAGTTTTGGGTTGGTTTGTGGCGGTCCTAAAATCAGCGCTACTATCGCTACCTAATGGTTCTTTCGCCCGCGGTCGCGCCAAATAGCTGCGTGCGTGACCGTCCGCCTCTACGTCGCGCGATGACTCAAGGTTGTCTTGGTGCCTGGCCTTTTGTCACGCGAGCTGTGTACAATTTACTGATTGGCTACAGGACATCTCCGGGATCCGCTAAACCGCGTGTACAGGCACAGAACACGGACACACGCGCACCAACTGGCCCTGTTTACTGGGAGCAGCTTGTTTTTGCAGAGCCTTTTGTTAGCAGTGTCCGCAGGCAAATATCTCCACCGGATTGAGGCAAGAATGTGGCTTCAGGCTAGGCAGAAGCCGCAGATCCTCGGGTGGGCAGGCAACCAGGTGGTGGAGGTTCTGGCTGAGGTCCTCATTAGCAGGTTGAGGACACATCAGGCCACAACATATTGGAATGCGCACTTCGAGGTCCTACAAACCAATAGAAGAAAACCCATCCTGCGCTGGGGTCAAGGACGACTCTAGCCCACACACACAAAGGCCAGGTCCTAAAACAGTCTCTCAAACAACTGGAGCTCGATTTTGGACTGGTCTCCAGCGTAGTTTATTGCTAGATTCCCGTTTACAGCTAGGGGTTTTCGTGGGTAGGAGTCCCATTTGACTTTGGTAAAGGGTAGGGTGTAAGATTAAGTAATTTGGGCTGGTTTAGAGGATAATCCGTTTCTCTGAACAGGGAGAACTTACGGTGGCGCAGGCACGGTAAGTCAGGGTTATAAGTGCGTCCTTCTCCCGTAGGATAGGCGAGATTACGCTAAGTTCCAGAGAGAGTTAAGTTAGGACACGAAAATTATACTATTGGAGGGTAGAGCAAGACCATCAGTAGTACGGGGGAAGGATTAAATTATACCCATGTCCAAGCACAAATACTTGCAAAATAGTCTGTGCAAGTTGTCGTTAGACATCGTGCCACATCCTAAGAAGTTGTAGTTTCTAGGTTTTCGAAAAAAATCTGAGCACGAGACAAGTATACAAGTCAAAAAATATGACTGTGCCTGTATGTGTGTGTGTGATCGGTAACACAGTCATGGGGGAAAAGGCTTTTAGTGTAAACTAGCTGGGAAGCCCGGCTTCGCCTTCAGGTTGCTAAGGGTCT